AAAAAAAAAAAAACAAAAAACCCCACCAAAACCCAAATGCCTTGATAATAGTTTTGACAGCATATATTATTTAAAATGTTTACAGTAAAGAATGGCATGCATGATAGACAAACTGGAAAAATGTGTGCAGCATATTTATAGAGGTGTACAAATCAGCTCAAGGTGAAGATCTCCATAGAAAAATAGGCTAAGAACATGAGATCTTTTTCAGTGTCTCTCTCTGCCAGGGATCAAGCCCAGGGCCCTGAACATGATATGTATAATTTTATTTTATTTTTATTTTTTGGTATGTATAATTTTAATATTTTATTAAGGAAAATTTTATTTATTTGATACAGGGTCTTGCTACACAGTTCAGTCTTGTACTGATCCTTCTGTCTCAGCCTACCTGGTGCTGGGAATACAGGCCTACACCAACATTCTGTTTTGGGGTGGCATGGCCCCCCTGGGGTTCTGGGGCTATTGAACTTGAGTCCTTGTGCTTGCTAGGCAGAAACTTAGACTGCTGAGCTATCTCCGCAGCCCCTATCATAGAAGATTCTAAACATTAAGAAAAGTAAGGGCTGGCCGAATAGCTCAGTGGATTAAAGTGCCTGCAAGCAAGTGTAGGGGCCAGGGGTTCAATCCCTGGGCCTGCCATGCGGGGCCCTGCCCCCCCAGGGCATCTTGAGATGGCAATTGAGACTGGGTGTGATGGTACACACCTATAATCCCACATGTTAGGAGGCTATAAACAGGTGGATCACAACGAGTCTGATCTAGTAGTGAGACCCTGAACACCCTGTAGACCCTTCACAAAAAATACAAAAAAAAAAAAAAAAAAGTAAACTGGTTTGAGGTGACTCACACAACTGTGATCTCTGCACTTAGGAAGCTGAGGCAGAGGATGGCAGGTTCTAAACCAGTCTGGCCTACATAACAAGTTCCAGGCCAACTTGGCCTAAATAGTGAAATTGTGTTTTTTCTTCTTCTTCTTATATGTATTTGGTACAGGGTCTCACTACACAGCTTGGACTCATAGTGATCCTCCTGTTTTTAGCCTCCCCAGCACTGGGATTACAGGTGTATGCCACCAGACCCCCAGTCTCAGTGGCCAGCTCAGCACACCTGGGCATAGGGCCAGTGCAGCATGTGATGGCAGGGATGGAACCCCGGTCCCTGCACTTGTTTAAGTAGGTACTTAGTCTGCTGAGCTTGCCAGCCTTGTGAAATTGTCTTTAAAAAATTAGGAATTAATATAAGGAAGCATTGTGTCTACCACTCAGCCTCAGTTATAAGGTATCAGTATTCTTTGTGGGATCTCTCTTTTATCCTTAGGTAGATTATATTAAAGCAAATGAAGCAGTCTTACAATTTTATCTATAAGTAGTTTAAAATGTTTCTAAAAGAGAAAGACTCCTTAGAAATAATCACAAAGCTATTATTGCATCTTGCATAAATAATTATTGGACTGAGGATGTAGCTCAGTGTTAGAGTGCTTTACCCACATTTGAAACTCAGCACAATGAAAAGCAAGACAAAACAAAACAAAAATCAATGTCCAATATCCAATTAGTGCTCCTGGAGTGCCAAATATGTGTCATATAATATATATGAACTAAAGACATGAATAGATTTGTTTTCAGAGATTTTTTTTTTTAAATGTGGTACTGGAAATTGAACCCAGGGCCTACCAGTGCTCCTCTACTATCCAGCTAAAACTCTAGCTCAATCTTTTTTCCTGAAATTTAAAATTTGAAATTATGCAATCATAAGTATGCATGTTTGTTGTGTTAATGTGTACCAGTTATTGAATGGATTAATACCTAAATAAAGTCCATAATATTGCAATTTGATAGTTTGTTTCAAGTCTCTCTTAATGCACAGGTTTCCCTTTTTCTTTGCAACTTTGTATTGAAGTTGAATTTTGCTGATTGAGTTTTTCTTTTGTCTGGATATTGAATCCAGGGC